CGTAAGAACACCTGAAGAAATGTTGTGCAGTGTGTTTTAATGAGATTTTAGGTTTTTCCTGTATAAACCGTCCCATTGAAATACATTTTCTTCCTTTACACACACAATCTTTATTAAATCTAAGACTAAAATGTCATTCATTTTAGTCTTTAAAGAATTATATTTTTTTCAAATCTAAAAGAGCAGTAGTTCTTATAGTCTTACTCAGTGTTAAAATTCGCTATTATTTTCAAAAATTCTGGAAAAATTTGGGGTTTAATGAGAGAAATTGCCCACGTAGTTTTCGGAAATATGTCGGCTTTAAGTGAGAATTATTTGTTTTTACTATATTTACAAACAACACCTCAAGAGGAATGTCGAGGTCAATTTTGAAGGTACTTAAATAACTCCCAAACAAAACGTCGCCTGCAAAATGTACACACAAATCCTAAATCCATTCATCCATAGTAAAAACATCGAAAACTGCAGTCGATTATCAAAAATTTCATTCCGAAAAAAATGTGTTTCCTTCGAAGTTTTATTCGCTTAAAACTCCGATTAAAATCAGCAGCCGCCACTGACCTAAAAAAATTGAGCGCCTAATTCGATTCGACATTGTAGCGTAGTTTGCGCTATTTCTAAAAAATCCGCTGAAGAAAGCACCCATCGCCAACCAGCAGAAGACGCACTTCCCGATCAACAATCGACTCCTCATGATCATAAGAACACATCCCGATGGGAATCTTCGTCTGCTTCTTCGGCGTGCTGCTTCAAAAGGGGGCTGCCGTCACTGACGCGCGTCTTGCTCCCCCTGTGGCTGTTCCGGCCGGAAGGAAATGGGGGCGCAATTGGCCCGCAAGGGGTGCACGGCGCCGACCTCGACAACCATCTTTTCGAGAAAACTGTAGACAAAATCCCTGAAATGGTGTTGGTTTGAGATTCGCCCCACTTACCTGAAGGGATGGCTTTGCTTTGACTGGCATTACCGGAATTGACTGTCTGGACGTCGCCGAGAGGCATGTACAGGGTCTTCGCCCTCACTCTGTGAAAGTAGGCCCTGCTATGAGTGCTTCCAGACGTTGCGGGCGGGTTGGGGCTCTTCTGAACGGGCAACTGCTGGATCTTATCCAGCAGCTCTCTCATCTCCACAGTGGGCGAAGTGGCGCGCGGAGGCGAATCTGGAGTGCCTATTTCATATCACCAACCCCATTATTCAACCAATGTTTCGAACATACATGAAATCCCGTACTGTACTCACCCAGATTTGCCAGGCTACTAATATCCGAACCGGTCATGCTGTTGGTTACGCCCAAGTCGTGGAGAATGGTGGTAGCTTGCGGGTGGGCAGGTTCTCCCGAATGGGGCGCGCAGATGGAAAGATTCAAAAGGGCAGAAAACAGTTCCTCATCCTCTGTCGAGTCCTGGCTGCGCTGCAAAAGAGGACGGCGCGTCCTCAGCACCGGCCGTTCTCTGGTTGTGGGAGGAGAGATCACCGTTGAGGCCAATAGAGTTTTACTCACTGAAATTCTTCAGTTGCTTCAAAGCGCATTGAACCCATGATAATACAGACCTAGTTTTGATTCTTCACGCGAAGGCTTCATAGTTACGCTGCCTAGATTCGTCGTGTTGCTGGAGTTTTGATTAGTTGCAGGTATGGGAGGGCGCAAATGAACGGCCGCAATCGGAGTTAAGGGTGTTGAAGGGGGTTTGGGCTGCAGTGAAGCGCTGGGACTGTGTTGGATAACCTGGACATCAAAATTCGGTTCAGATTTTTCGTGTTTTATGAGGGATGAGGGAGCGTGTCCTAGCGGTCCTAATAAGGCCAATTAGCAGAGCCGTAGCAGGAGCTCGTAATGTAATAAGTCCTACACGATCAGTCAAGGTAAGACTTAATTTAAGAGGATTGAACAGTAGAAGGGCGGCTATTGCACCACTGCTCACCAGAAATATACGTTTTGTTAAGAAACACACACATAAATTGGACCTTCGCTGACTGGAAGAGAGAGAGGTCTCCAAGAAGCCCAGATATGAATCATATAGACCTGTAGAGCATCTATGGGATGCACTTAAACAATCGACCTGCTCCTATGAATCGTAGGGAACTCGAGCAAGCGATGCTTTTCGAATGCCAAAGCATTATTTCCCAATA